TCTTTGTATAGTGCTGCTGTATTTATTTCTATTATTGTGCTAATGAAAATTATTCTCTATTTAAAGGTTTTTGTCCTTGAATGTGAATATCAGAGTAACAGTTTAAATACTTCTGAATGTTCATATTATAATTTTTTTCTGTGAAGAAACTCACAGAATGGATTACTTTTAATTGCTTCATCTTATTTAACTTTGGTATGAAAGAGTGTCAATTTTCTATGTCATTTGTAAATCATAAGAAATAAAATATTTAACATGAATTGTCGTTGCAGTGGCTTCTTGCTGATTTTTATAATTGATATTAAGGTGCAAAGAATGTTGAATAGCTCAGTACCTAGAAAAACATAGAAAAATGCAGATTTTCCATTGTTCAAGTGTTAGATGTAAGAGAATGATGGCTTTCTCATTGGTTTTAGTTTGCGTATGAGCAGCTCTTGCAAAGGTATAAAAGTAGTATCAATTGGCTGTGACAAAGGGAGTTCAAGTAGCAGTTGCAGACCATCTACGAAGTCTTCTAACTTCCAGCCTCTCAGAGCTGATGGCTGCATTTTAGGTTACAATTTCAGCAACTGTTATGCTGAGTGCCGCTGACTCAGGGCAGAGCTGCTTTCAGAAGAATGATTAATTCCTTGACAGTTTTGAATTCTGACCACAGGTATCTTTATGGAGAATACTGCCTGCAATCTCCCACACTGTGCATTGCCTTTTAAGCAGATATGAGCCATTGACCTGTGTTTCCCATATGTTCTATTTAATGTACTTCCTCTTAGCCCAGTGGCATTTTCCTGCATTGATACCCCTTACTCTCTTTTTTAATTCTCCTTAGTTGTTTTTGCCTTTTTCTCTGGAATGTAAGTTCATTCATTTACACTTACTTGAAGTTTCTTTGCTTTCTCTTAATTATCTTATTCAGATATGCATTTCCCCTAAGTTTTTGCACATCTGTCTAGTACAGTGTCTCTCTGTAGCCAGCTTAGATCTTCCCTAGCACATCCAAATGCCACTTACAGCCTTATCAGTGAGCTAAAGGAGAACTGGATAGCTGGATTGTGTTAGCAAGCTTCTTATAAGGAGCTGTGAGGAAAGTGCAGAGGAAAGGGAAAAACAAGCGAATGAACAGAAACTGTGGCAGTTTTTAAGGAAAACTAATGCACTTTGAAAACCAGTGGAAATATCTTCTTCATAAACTTATGCTTGGAGAGATTGCAACCCTCATATTTACTATGGGAAAGAAAAGAGACCAAGTATCTAGAAAAGCAAGTATTTAAGAGAGCAACCATGAAAAAGAGAGATTAAACTATCAGGCAAAGTTTTGTCCTGGGACAAAAAAAAAAAACACAAAAAAACCCACAAACCCACAACTGTATTTGGTTAATTTAAAAACAGTCTGTCATTTTTTGGACCAGTATTTCCCAAATGCTTCTTTTTTTCAAGTGGATAGATGTTGCTTCCAGACACTGGTTAGTGGCTGGTACCTGCCTTCAGGGAGAACAGAGCTGCTGGTCTGAATCTGTGGCAGACAACCAGAGCCTCTCATGCCAAGTGACAGTGAGCTAGGACTTAGCTGCATCTGACAAAGGTTTCAGATAGGAAAAGGATAACTGGAAGCCATATATATGAAGCAGTACAAGATGAAGGTGAGGTAAAAGTTTATTTGATTATTACTTGCTTAGTCTTACCCCATTGCCCAGAGTCGTGGACACCCCAGTGATGGAAGTGTCCGAGGCCAGGAACAGCCTAGTAAACAGTGTCCCTGCACCTGGCAGGGATGTTGGATCTAGATGGACTCTAAGGTCTCTTCCACCACAAACTATGCTCTGATTCTGATTCTGTGGTTTTTGTCCTAGGTGGATACAAATGATTGTCTATATGTAGTCCAACTGAACAACTGCAACAGCCACACCTCACTTTCTCTCCTTTGCCTAATCAGACAGACTGTTCTTCCATGCACTCACAATCCCACAGCATCTAAAGTTTAAAAAGTGTATTAAGCATGTTCTGATCTCACTGGTAATTAATAGTGCAAGGTGTTCATAATGGTTCAATGTGTAGTTATTTTAATAATTCTTGAGTATTCAATTCTAAACAAATTTTTCAAGTAAATTAAGCAGTAATGACTTCACTATTCAATGAGATGCTTCAAAGTGAAGGGTAATATAAACAAATTATACCAGCAGCTAAAGCTAGGTGGAAGCTTATCTCTCAGATCTCTGGCTGCAGTGCCCTTAAACTGAATCCACTTGGTTTTGCAGTTGTAGAATTATCAATAACCTCAATAACTTCACCTACCTAAAGCTCAGTTAAAAAAACTGTCAAGAGACAGCCACTAAAAGTGTCCTGATTAGCACATCACCTTGGAGGACATGCTTGTAATGTGCTCAGTGTACTGAAAACAACAGGAAAAATTTCATTAATATATTAATTTATTTCATTTCAGTTTTAGTTCAATTGAACATCAGAGCAGACAACTTTTTCCTTTGTGACAATACAGGGAATTTTTGAAACACTGTATTTCCATGTTTTACAAAGTATGTCTGAAAAATCAGATTATGGTTTCAAGCATATTACTGTATAGTTTGTCAGGGAAGAGGCTACAGTTAGGAACTCAGCCTAGTGCTTTAGTACAGTTTATGATTTCAGACATACTTTTCACTTAATAATATATTAAAAAATAGAGCTTTAGAAGAAAACATGATTTTAAGTCATGTCATCACAGTGTTGGGTAGCTAGAGACATTACTTAATATAATAAATATTTCTGACAATCTATTAAGAATTCACAATATTAGATTTTAGACTAGGTAAAGATCACTTATATTTTGTCTTTAGACAAAATCTATTACCTGCAATTTGAAGTATAATATATACACAGGTTCCAATACAAATGGTGGAGGAATTCTCATAGAAAATGTAACTGTGATGTTGTGGACAATTTTAAATTAATGCGTCCTTATCTCTGCCACGTACATTACTCAAATTTTATTCTGTTTCCCTAGGAAATATTTTGTTGTCCATTACATCACAAGTTCGTATATTTAAAAAAGTTGATTGAGAACAATTGAACTACTGCATTATGATGTTATGTCTTAGACATACTTCTTGATTTCATCATAAAGTACTAATACAAAAGCTCCGCCCATGCCTCTCAACACATTCGACCAGGCACCCTTGAAGAACGCTTTGGATCCTTCGTCTTTAGCTATCTTCCTCCAGCAATCAATTGTGCCCTTATACATAATATCAGCTGTGGAAACAAACATAAATGTTAGAAAAGGCTTGAAGTTACACAGCAAGTATGTTGTTTAAAAATACAACAGTTGAAACAAAGTACAGCGAAGATTTAAAATATAGTAATCAATGAAGGAAAATTAATTCTCCATAGGAAATCAAGTAATTTCTCAGTCCTTTAGATCAACATGCAACGTGTTCCCCATAGATTTTTTAGAGACTCCAATGAGAAGGTTATCAATTCTCCGTAAGACAAAAAAATAGCCAGTATCTCTCATCTTATCCTGATGAAGAGAAACTTTCTGCAGCTAAAACCACTTATTCTTACCTCCCTTTCGGCCAGACTGCATCATCATCCTACGCCGCACAGTATCAAATGGATAAGAAACCAGCCCTGCCACTGCAGTGACACTCTGGGCAATCATCCAGCTCACTATGATGTGCACATTCTTTGGATCAGGCAACATACCTGTCATCAAGAACAAATGAACAGAATCAGTACAGAGGGAAAGGGCTGTGGGAAACATGGCTGTGAAAGGAATAAGCACCCACCAACCCCGGAGTCAATCCAAACCCAAGGCAGTTCAGAGCAGCAAGTAGAGGGAGGCAGGAGTGCACGTCAGAAACACCTGTGCACATTTCTAGCTCTGCACTCAACTGGTGCTGAGCCAAGCCCTGCTTGTCCTTGTATTGCCAAGTGCCCTAGAGTGCCTTTACTGAATGGATCTTCCCTTGCAGTCACTCTTCCATGCACTTCTTACCCTTGGCCGTATCGTATACCCCAAAATAGGCTGCTCTGTAGATGATGATGCCCTGGACAGACACACTAAATCCTTGGTACAAGCCCTTCAAGCCATCAGACTTAAAGATCTTGACAATGCAGTCGCCCAGGCCAGAGAACTCCCTCTCGGTGGCTCCTTTGCCCACATCAGCCGCCAGCCGGGTCCTGGCAAAATCCAGCGGGTAGACGAAGCAGAGGGAGGTGGCTCCCGCGGCACCCCCGGACGCAAGGTTTCCTGCGAAGTAGCGCCAGAACTGCTTGTGCTTGTCCACTCCGCCCAGGAAGATCTGCTTGTACTTGTCCTTGAAGGCGAAGTTAAGGGCCTGGGTGGGGAAGTACCGGATGACATTGGCCAAGTTGCCTCTCCAGAAGGAGGCGATGCCCTGCTCCTTGGGGATGCGGACTATGCAGTCCACGATGCCCTTGTACTGCTTATCGGCCGTGATCTGTTTGCTGGCATGCTGGACCTGCAGGGAGGAAGGAGCAGGACGGCACGGTGAGAGACGGGCACCGCGGGGTGACCGCGCACGCTGAAGGGCACGGACGGCGCCGGCCCAGCCCCCGGCACCGCCAGGCGGTGCTCCGCGTCCCGGGCAGCTCCCGCGTAACCGGAGCCGGCCGAGCTCCTGCCCATATTTAGTCACGCCGGGCAGCGCCCGCCGAGCCGGCACCACCTGTGGCGCGGCACCGCCGCCCCCCGTCGCCCCCTCACCTGCAGCAGCAACTTCACTCTCTCGATGGGGGCGACAGCCGTCTTGGAGACGGCGGCGGCGATCCCGCCGGCCAGAAAGTCCTTGACGAAGCTGAGCGCTTGGTCACCCATGCCGCGAGCCGGTCCGACAGCCCCGCCCGGAGAGAGGCAACGAGCGGACACTTCCCCACCCCGCCGGACAAATGTCCCCGCGGCCCGCGCCGCCCCGCTTATAGCCCGCGGCCTCTCGCGATAGGAGGAGGCGCCCCCCCGGCGCGCGGGCATTGGCTGCGCCCCGCCGGGCCCGCCCCGCCATGTTCCCCCGAGCGGCGGCCGCGAGGGACGCGGGGCCCGGGACGTTTAAAGGGCAAATTAAAGTTATCTGGTGCCTGCTGGGGAACGCGGTGTCACAGCATGTGCCCGCTGTATTTATAGCTCCCGGGAGGCACCGGAGGGAAGATGGGGAGCCGGCAGGAGCGCTTCAGGCCGTGTTAAGCGTTCCGTGCGGGCGAGAGGCAGCGGCTGAGGGCTGAGGGCTGCCCGGGGCGGTCTGAGGAGAGGAGAGCAGAGCAGAGCAGAGCGCGCCCAGCCCGCGGCAGTGCATTAGCCTTGCCCTCATGCGCGTGGAGTCACGCAGAGAGGGGCGCCAGGGGTGTCGTGCCCAGCAGCAAAGGTCCCCAGGGATGCACTGCCAGCCGGGAAAGGGGGTGCTGTGTTCACAGGCATCAGGGACCAGGACTGGACTGCGCCTCTCTTGAGTCAAGGCCAGAGCTGCTTCATGCTGTGCGCACTGTGCGGGGCTTGCAGGCATCGAGGTCTTTAAATAGCCCAGCCTGCGCTGGGACTCGGCTTTCCCGAGGAGGAGACAGCATGCCTTTCTGCATTATACCCTCATTTCACCCCTGCAAGGTCAGACCCTCGCAAGACCCACAGGCAATCCCCTCTTCAAAGAGAGGGAGGGAAGGAGGAGACGGGAAGCACATGCCCAGGCAGGCTGAAATTGCTTGACTGGCACCAAGTGTGAAAGAAGAGTAAAGGCTGTAGTGAAGCTGCCTTTATGCAGCATCTGGTTCTTAGAAAAATGTTTGGGTCTCACTTGAAGACAAAATGGCTCCCCCGTTAGTTTCTCATCTGTTCTTTCTGGCTGACCCCCATAAGAAAACAACAGCTTATGATTCATTGTTGGGTGACTTAGTTGTGTGGAAGAGTTATGTAAAAGGCAATGCCGGAAGGTATAGATGCATACCAAGGAGTTTCCCCTGCAGAGCTAATAAGACAGAAAAATGTTATACCAAGGAACTTGTAAGGGTCTCTTTTGATTTGGTAATATGGTATCAGTAGTGAAAATGGAATTCATCTTAATGTACATGCTAAAATCTTGGCTGTTCCACAAAAAGACATTCTATACGGGGCAGTGCATCTCTTCTCACCAGTGTGTGTGTTAGCATGAGTCAATGGGATGGTACATTTGATCCCGTCTCTCTTGCCCTCTGCTGCTCTTAGGTCTGTTGAGGTCTCTTCTCATGAGTCTCAAGTGTGAGAAGTGGATGCCAGCTGTGATTTCCAGAAGCACCCTTTTGTACCTTGGCCTCCTGAGAAGAAGGAGCTTTTCCCCAGCTTCTAAGAAAGGGGACAAGAGCTACCCACCAAAGAGATATTTTCCCAAGCAAGGACCAAAGGCAGGTGCATAGGGGAAACACAGGGGATTCCCTAGAATTAGGCTGAGTTGAAAGGAGTTTTATTTAACATATGTGGCTGCCTGCTACCTTTGACCTTTCCTTTTTTTCCCTCATACTTCACTCACCAGGTCTGGTGTCTCCTCTTTTCACAGGAAAGCAAACACCCATTTAACATTTCGAGGCTTCTGCTGCTGGTTTCACACAGACCCCTGGGATAATGATGCTCAGAGCTGCTGCCTGACTACCCAGACTGCTAAGGTCTCCTCAGGGTGTGCACTCAGGTGTCAGCCCTGCTGGCTGGGGTATGGTGAGTGGGAGATGGGAGTGGTGGTGGGATGCTGCTGGGGAGGAAAGGCAGTGGGGGGTCTGAAGTAAGCCTGGAGTGGGGGTCTAGCCTGAAAGGATTGTTTGCCAGCCCCTTCCCCACCACCTTTGATTTAGATTGGTGGGGGGGAAGGGGGGAATTATTTTTTAGGTTATTTAAATTGTTGGGGCTTTTAAAATGACATTTTAATAAAGTCTTTATCACAAGAATTCTAGTTAGTTTTTGAAGTTGTTGTTGGCTATCATCATCACATCCAGAGAGATTGTTTGATCTGATATTTCTGTAGCAGTAGTATTGTTTACCCATAACTGCCAGTATTTAAAGAAAGGACTGCATAGCAAGTGAGTTGCTACTTATTCTGCTTCTGCTCTCCCTTCTCTGAGCCCACATATCTATTTCCAGGAGAGACTTTGCTTGCAAACAGTTTTAACAAAGGCTGGGACAGACCAGGGCATGTGTTGCCTACTTTGAGAGTTATTCTTAATTCATTTAATTTTTGCTCCAAATGCCTGATTTGAGTCTTTCCTATGTATGATGATGAGGGGCAGTTTGCTACTTAGTGCAGAAGTTTAAACATATTCTGTAAGGAATTTACTGCTAACTCTACCTTGAGCGTAAGCATTTCCAGAACTAGCTGGAAATGTCATTTAAAAAAGCTAAATAACCTTTGGTTTTCATACAGTTAGTTGGTATTTGTTATTCAATATTCCGATACTTTCCTAGAGAAATGGTTAAAACAGTCCTGAAAATGCAATCTCTCTGAATTATTGAAAGCAGTCTTTCAAGCTTCATTTTCCTTAGATCTTTGCAGCTTTGGATGGATTTTTTTTTCTAGGCTGAGTTTGTGGGTGCTCTGCTCTGCTGACATAGCATAAAGACACTGCAATTTGTTCTTAACAATTCTGAGCTAAAAACAACCTAGATCTACATTTTTGAGAGTGATTAGTTACTGACTGCATTGTGCTTTGGTGGTGAATAGCCAGCTTGAAACACTACAGGAGATCAACTGTTCCAAAGTAGTGCATACCCTTGTTTACTTACATATCCAAGACACTGGAAACCTGAGCACTGGGGCTAGGCCAGACACAAAACAAAAAAGCTTTTCATCAGAAGTCAGCAGTCCAAGCCTGATGGCAGACACAAGGGGGAGCACAAGGAATCAGTCAGAACATCCTGACTCCCAGCCTAGACAGAGGTGAGTAGACAGTGTATTGGGAAAATGCCAAGAAGAAAGATGTTGGTTTTTTTCAGGAATGATTTGTGGAGTTGTGGTAAGTTCTCATTTTTAAGATTGATGCATATTTGAATTCAGAAAGAGGAGAGTAAGAGACCCAGAACAGAGCTAATTGAGGATAAGAGTTGAAGAGGAATAATGAGGTTGGTGATGACAAAGATGATCAAGAAGGACAAAATAGTGTGAGCATTGAGTTTGTTTTGGCAGGTATTAATGAGGGTTATTTTATCTGAGTGTTGGTATTACCTGTCTTAGGAGCTTATATTGAGCTGGAGAGAGGGAAAAGTGGACAGTAAGTGTAAGCAGCACATTGAGAAGTGTTAGTGCTGGAAATAGCAGTAACAGTCAACGTAAGGTGTGTTTGTTTATTACAGCATGTCTGTAATGTGAGGTGAGGAGTTGGAGGAGGGTCAGTATTTTGGAAGAAAACCAAGGAAATGGATAAAAATTAATCTGAAACGGACCAGGAGTTTCTGTTGTAACAGGACAAGCATGGGGCATAGAAGTAGGAGGGAAAAAATACCCAACCTGTGACACAAGGAATAAACTTGTAGGAAGTGAGCATATTAATATTTCCTTTGGCAAGGATTTGTGCAGAAGATTTTCAAGAAAAGAGCTCTTGAAAAGTGCTTAATTTAACTTGGAAAAGTAGGAAGAAAATTTATAAAGATGGCACAACTGGAAGGGAAGACAGTAAACCTGGTCACAGATCAGCCAGGAATTTGAAGCTGGGCAGACTGAGTTATGTGTTTGGAAATCATACTTCATAATTCACGAGATAGGAGTGGAGAGTAAGAAACAGAGCAAATCTACAGTCAATTTGTGCTAGAAAAGAAAGATAAAGAAGGAGGAAGTGGGCTGAGATTGGATAGGATATTCTCAATCTGATGAGATGAAAATAATGAAAAGGGCAAGTGAGAGGATATGAGGAAGGACATGGCAGGCAAGGGAAATAATCAGAGAGGAAGGATGAGATAACAGAGGTCAGGGAAAAGCAATTCTTGCTGCAGACCTTGTCAAAAGAATGGCTCTTTCAGGGACTAGAACCCTGAGTGAGAGGTGCAGGGGAAATGAGTGGGCCAAGGCAATTAGACATACAGGTGACTGCTACAGAGTGCCACCAAGGACATCAGTATGAAGCTTGGAAGCTTCCTGAGTGTGAGAAATTGTGAAGAAGGGAAAAAAGTCAGTTGAAATCACAGAAGGCTGCTCGGAGGAGCTGGCTGACTGGCTGGCAGTTCTTCAGACCAGAAAAGAGCTGAGATATTGCTCAAAGGCAGACAAAATGTCATGGGGGTGGTGAGGATAGCCTCAGTGTGTGAGTAAGGGGTGGGATGGGATGGAGAGAATGGAGGTCTCTGTAAGAGAATGATTCTGCAGAGAGTCAGGCAAGGGCATCTAGAATGTGTGGACATTGGATTTAATGTGTGGGAAATATTTAATGTGTATCTCCCTGCTGCAGCAAGTGAGGAGAAGAAAGGGGAGTGGACCAGGCAGAAGGATAGAACAGGAATACAAGAAGGGGCAATTGAGCAATGGTAAAGTCTTGAGAGTGGGAATAGAGAGGTGTAGGTGTGGAAAATAGCACCAAGGAGGCAGAGTGAGGGGTAGGGCTCATTGCCTCAGGTAGATTGTTTAAGAAACAAGAAGCAGCAGTAGAAGGAATAAAAAGGGAGAGAGGAAACCAGACTAGGGCGGGGGTGGTGGTGGGAACTAGAGGAGTACAGAAGTAAGTTGCAGCAAGAGAGCACATGAGAGATATGGAGAAATAGCCCACAGCTGAGGTTAACCAAGACAGACAGAGTCTCCCTGGTCTGCAGTGACTGGTTTCCTCTTGTGCATGTGTGTGGCCAGCATGTTATACTTTTGACATTCCCTGTTGACTGAACTAATAATGAAACTGTGTATGTTAACTGAATGTCTTCTACCACATCAAAAATTGCCCTGGTGAAGGCAACTTACCTCAGGTTAATATGTTTTTTTTCAATTTTCAGTGCTTCATTGGCTTCACTAGTGGCCACTCTGAGGTACTGGAGAAGGCAAAAATCACTGGAAAAAGTGGGGTGTGAGGAACCAGGGAGAAGGGAAACAAATCAAGCATCAATACTGCAGGATTTGGTTCCTCATCAGAGATTTGTTTATTTCATAAAGGTTTCAGATCCTTAGAGCAACAGAACTAAACCAGCAGCTATCTGGTACTCAAACCAGACAAGCACTAATTTCTGCTACTCTAGTTGTTTGAAGAATTGCAATCACAGTCTTTACCCTGAAATTAATTTCACCTCTCTATAGGACTGTACAGTAAATACTTGGTATGCTGTACACACAATAACACTTTTGCTAAGATTCAGAACTCCAGTGGTTTTTCCTCATAGGTCTCAACATACCTTGAGAAAAAAATCATCCTTTATGTCACAGGTGTGCATTACAGTGGATAATGAATGGATTCTACAGTCTGTCGTAAACATTTACAGTACTCTAGAATATCTATTCATTGTTTGATTATTAATGCAGTCATGACATAAACACAACAGTACACATTACAGATTTTGGTAAACTCATAAAACAGAGGTATTGTGGACAGTTTGCAAGCCATGTATAGAAGCACATTAATGACTTGTTAGACTCCATAATACTTCATTTACTCTTTATTAACTCTTCTTTGGTAAATATATTTTGATATAAAGCATAACTCTTTATCCTCAGACTGCATTTTGGAAGAAAAGACAAAGACAAGTGAAACGACTTTCTCAAGGTCATTTTGTCAGTGTGTGCTAGAGCAAGGCATGAATAGAGCTTTCCAAGTTTTGCCAGATCTCTTTTGCACATGCCATTATATTAAAAGTCAAGATTATATTTGTTCCAATAATACCACTAAAACTTATTCAAAACAAGCCTAAAGTAAAATTTGAAAGCCTACTTTGCAGCTGGAAGGAATGTTGTACATTTTGGTGTACAACATCTTTTGGTGCGGATCTCAGCAGAAAATAATTTCAAAGCCTACTTTGCAGCTGGAAGGAATGTTGTACTTTTTCTTTTGGTGCAGATCTCAGCAGAAAATAATTTTTTGGGTAATTTCCAAACATGTTTCATTACATGGTGGAATGTATATCCCTTCTTGGATTCAGTGATTTTCAGGTTTTGTGCTTCCAGGAAAAAAATAGATGCTGAGAGGATCAGTGATGTTTATAAGTGATTTTCAGGTTTTGTGCTTCCAGGAAAAAAAATAGATGCTGAGAGGATTGGTAATGTTTATATTTTTTTTTTAATTGTAGTTTAAACTAATTTTGCATGGAAGAAATGAGATCTGGAGAATGTTGTGTTCTGTGCAAAAACTGTGACCTTCAGGGCAAAGTTTGCCTCTCAAGAAAAGTCTATACTTCCAGGGTCTAAATTGTTATGTTTGATAAATACTTGAGGCTTCATTTTCCCACTTGCTAGCTTGAAATACTCTATTTGCCATAATTTTTGTCTTATTTTCCTGAGATAGAAGTTGTGCTAAGAGATAATTAGCATTGTGGTTTGCTTTTCTGCACGTTCCAGTTCGTTGCCAGGGATATGCTTGTCATGGTGTTCACCAGATCACTTGGAAGGTGTGACAGCTGCCAACAGTATCAGCAATGCCTGGGCAGGTGTGTGATCAGAGCAAAGCCAAGCTATGGCTGAAACCCTCTGTATTTTCCAGAAGACACAATTTTCCTTTGCTGCTGGTGAGTAACACATCTTAGCAGTAACATTTCAAATGTCCTGATGAGGAAATAAAGTTTTTCACCAAGTTCTCCTGCTTTCCTAGTGGGTTTTTTTAAAATGTTTGTTTGTTTCCAAACTGGAGAAATGCTGCGTTGTGTGAATGCAGAATTCAGATGCACCTGCTTAACTTCCATGACCTAGAAAATAGGTCTGATTTGTTTTCAGAGCTTGGCAAAACAAAGCTATTAAAAAGTGAAAGTAATGATATCGACTTTTCTGACCTGAAGGTTACAATATGCTCTTCTTCAGAAAATCTTCTGGTCTGGAAGAATGTCTAGTATGACACCCAGCCCTCTTTATGTAGTGCAACATTCTTTACATTATTTGTGCAGTCCCCTGTGTGATGACTCCCATGTTCAGCTTTCCGTAGCTCTAGTGACTCTTGCATAGTTTTCAATTGCCTGCCTCTTCTTAGAGTTGTAGGGACTTGTTCTTTCTTCTTAGGTCCACATAAACAAGTAATTACCATTTTAAATCATTCATACAACATCGGTGCAAGTCAGGGTATATAAGGAAATCTCATGTAGCGTTTCAAGTAGAGTTTTATTTTCTATTTTGCTCGAGCTTATTCTTCTAAATATTGTCTTAGTATAAATCTTAATGGGATAATGTAAGTCATTGTTCTATTCAATTCAAGTTGGTCTCTGCTCTTTTCAATACATGTTTTTATCTTCCTTGCAGTCATTTTGGAGTATCAAAATTATTTAAGTTGACCTTATGTTATATTTGTTTTGTTAATCTTCTGGTTTCTATTTTCTAAGTTGTTTCTCTGTGTGATTTTACAGTTCTAGGTATTTTAAAAATCATTCTTTCAGGCAGACAGGTTTGAATTGTTAAATTATTTAAGTGATTTATTTGTTTTCCATCTGCTATTTCTGACATCTAGTTATAATACAATAATTTTCTTTTATTAAAAGTGTCAATATTGTTAGACCTTGCTCAAGTTGTTACATCTTCGTTTTCAGATCTTTTGCAGAGTTTCTCACTGTGATTTTACTCTAGACTAGTCTTTCTTCTGTGAAATAGTTCATAATTTTCTTGCTGACAGTAATTTTATTTTCATATGTTGTAGGAAAAAATTAAATAATTTCTGACAGTAGTATATATTTAACAGAATCACAGCTTTGTGCACAGTCAGATAACTGCACTGCAATAGCAAAACAAGGTAATAATATTTTTATAATATAGAAACAACTTTATGCATTAAATGTGGATGTAATTTTTACGCATACTTGCAATAGCTATTAGCACAACGGTTTTAATAGAATTTCAAGCTTATTTTCAAGTAAGTGAGAAATAATGAATTGTATTAGTGAATGAATCATCAAATTTTTGTCACCCTACCCTGGTTGAATAGACCACAATAACATTGTTGTTATAATTCAAATTGTATTATTACAATGCCAGAAATGCTTTTTAATAAATTGAAATATTAATATTTCTGCATTTTGCAAGAAAATGGCAAATTAAGGTCAGTTCCATGCCACACATTATTAAAATGCATGAAGAAAAAAAGGTCTGCTGAAAAGCCAAAATCCCAGCAAGTGGGATGCTGATATTGAAGATGGCAACTGCCTTGCTAGACTGAGAAAACTGAGTGAGAAAGTCTTTAGATGCCAGAGTTTATGGTTTTTTGGCTTAAAAACTCATGTCCCTTCATGGGGTATTCAATGCTTCAGAACTCACTGTGGAAAAGGTCTAGTTTGAGTCCCAGGTCCAAAAATTCCTTTGAATTTGACTTTCTCCAGCTGAGATGGTATACAGTATATGAAAGGGAACAAATTATGGGGACAAAAGCAGAAGTCAGGAAGCAATTAGATTGTGTGGTATATTACCTCAGCTTGATGAAAAAAAAAGCAACAATCTGTATTTCATTCAGTCCTAGAGAATGACTGCCAGTTTCTGATTCACTGGGAATTCAGTTTAATACTTATAAATCTTAAGAAATAAACGAAGATACTGTATTGACATACATTCTTAAATGTTGCTGTATTATTTCAAATTGACATATATGTATGTACAGTTATAGGTAGGTATGAATTAATTCATGCTGTGAAATTGGCTTGCAGTTCAGCACTGTAAAAGGAATTGTCCTATTGCTCCATTTAATTTATTTTCCTTTGTAGTAATATACAGTAATGGAAGAAGGTGAGATTGAGCTGTTTTCTATTTTCCAGACAGCTCTAAAGGGATAGAAGACAGGGGGTGTTCTGAGTATGTATAGTGAGGAAAACTGAGATGTTAGGAACAATGGTGCAGACATGAAACAGTCTTGAAATAGTCAGCCAGGGATAAATTATCTGGACCTTGTCAGTTCCTTCCAAGATCATAGTGGTGGGGGATCACCCAGCAGCTGAGTCTGCTGCTTGTTTGTGATTTGCCTTTCAGATGTTCAGTTGTAGGTTGGTGTCCTTTTTTTCTGCGTGGAGCTAGACCAGCGACTCAGGTCAGAAGAAACAGTTCAAATAGATCTTTATGCAATTTAAAATATCCCTCTGGCTTCCATACATTTTCATCAATGCCCTGCTTCATTTTTTGAGGTGTTCTTGAAGTTGCAGGCTTTCTTGTCCACTGCTAATAATCCACAGACAGAGGAGCTAACACTAAACGAGTGAAAAGTTGTGAGACAGCAGTGTTGCAGGAACCCAGCGGCTTATTCTATACTTTTGTCTCCTGTTCTGCCCCTCACCTCTGCAAAATAAGATTTAAAAATCCAAACCACCATAAGCAGAGAACTTCTCTTCCCCTTATTCCTCCACTTCTGAAACATGCTCTGTTTGAGAGGAGAAGAGAGCCCATTGATATAGTTTTGGGAAAGCTATCCTAAAGCCGTGCACTTTCTCCTACTGGGCACAGCTTGGCAGGGGAGGTTGCTCTCAGTTTGGAGCAGCAGTGATGTGGACAGGAGGAGGTTGATTACAGCAAGGGATGAGAAGCATGCATTTACATAGTCTCCTTTTCCCTGCCACCTCTCCACTCTCCAGCAAGCATGGGTTTATTTTAGCATTGGCATTCTGAAGTAGGATTAATTTTCCCCTGAATAGGTCAGGCTGGAGCAGAGCCAGGAAACATGGCCTTTCATAGCTGGGGTGACTCAGGAAGGCAGAGATACCTACTAAGTAGACAGGGCCCATAACTGCTGGGCCAATGCCCAGTGCAAGAGAAGTATCCTGGAATAACCTTTCTGATAAACAGCAGAAAAGTCCGTATGGAGTCTTTTTCCAGAAGCTGATGCCAGGCTGAACCAGGCTGTTGTGCTGCCCTCTGCTGTTTGCATTTGGGGAAAAAAGTCAGTCAGTGATGAAATCCCGCAAATCTGAAACAAAGTATGACCGGGAAAGCAGTAGCAGGTGAACGTGTGCTTTCAGCCTCGCATTTCAGGCAGTGCTTCAGCCAGCTGAAATGTGCCCTGTATCTTCACTAGCAGTTCTGTTCATAGTAACAGAACATAGCTAATAGTTTTCTTACAAATTTTAGCACTGGTAGGGCCCTTGTGGCTCTGCAAAGCAACTTGTGACAGAAATCATGCTTTTTGACATGCTTGTTTGTGTTTCAGTGTGCAGGGGAGACGCAGAGTAAGACATTTCCATCTGTAATTCAGATTTTAAAAACTTTGCTATACTTATTATTATGTAGAATTATTTAATTCCCTACTTACACATATTTGATACAAAGTTGTGTAGAAAGCTACAGCCATGTCTAAATACATGACACCTGTGTCTAGGACCTTTTTACCGTAGCTAATGTATCAGACAGCGTGGAAGTAGTCTGATATGTCATCAGAACTAGAGGAAATTGCCATTAAGTGGTATTTCCTGGCCCTGATGCAGTGTGCTCCTGATAGACTTGGAGCCTGTGTAGCCCCAAGCACTTGCACATCTGCAGATGTCCCAGCAGCTGCAAGAACTGTGTTTAGGGTTCTGCTCAGAAACATAACAGCTGGGCTGATTTCATGGCCCTAGATGAAGTAAATGAGCTTGTGGTATATGATTCTGGAAACTCACTACTTTGCTTCACAAAGGAGGTGTTAATGTTAAGCTTTGATCCCATCTTAATGCTTGTATCTTTAAATGTGATATGCATGTTTCACTTTTTGATACTGATTTTAAAACAGTTGACTTCAATTTCTTTGTCACAAATATCCCATCCCAACTGTGTGGGATGGTGACTTAGCTATCAATGTGCCTGTGACTCCCTTTCAAAGGAAAGAAACTTCTTATTTTATAACTAATAAAAAAATTATAAAATCAAAATAAATACAGAACTGATCAGAACCTTGTGACTCAGCTAATGTCATAGGGTGATAAATAAAAGCATCTGTAGTAATTTGTCCTGTCAGCAACTCAACAAATTGTTGTACAATGTACAGAGGCTTGTGTGACTTGTTTATGCAGGCAGTTAATGAATAATAAATAAAAGCTTCTTTCAAAATAGGTGAGTTAATTAATGATTTTTAGAGGTGTGATTTCACTTTGAGAAGTGGCTGTAACAGTGGAGCTGTGAGGCTGTTTATTGGCTTTCCCTGTCTTCAGCAGCGAATACTTCTAATTCTCTTAGAGCAACAATTTTCTAACATTCAAGCCCGCAACCTCAAACTGAACTTTAAAGGTGAGGACTTTTCTGCTTGTGTTGTAAACCATAATCAGGCCATAACTCTGGGCCTGTCTGGGGGAAGACAGAGAACCAGTATAACCAGGATGTTTGGCCTTCCAGTTGGTTTGTTCTTCATTTTTGTGATCATTTGGCTTCATTTCCCAGGCTCCCAATAGCAGAAGAGCAAGACTATACCATTGTCTGCCTGTGATGCTGATTTGTGCAAGCAATATTCACAGCTCAGCCAAGTTGGCAGGAGGACTTTGTTGAATAGAAGTGATCATATTGCTTTCTACAGAGCCCAAGTGTTTGGTTGGTTAGTATTTGATTCCATCACATTAGCATTTACAGCATGAAACAATTCTAATGGAAGATAAAAAACAGATCAGTTTTACTTGTAGTCTCAGAACTTGAGGATATGGCTTGAAA